CTTGGCACTGAGAAGCGTACAGGAGCCTATCCTCAGAGCTGGCAGCAGCAGTAGCAGAACCAGCGAATTTATTGGGGTCATTAACCAATCAGCCTCTAGAATTGCAGGCCTAGAGGTGACTGCGCAGTACTCTTTATGCCGGTGCAGGATCAACACACCATTGACTGAGTTCTCATCCGATGTACAGGGTTCAATAAGTTCTCGACCTGTCTCGTTTCCTGAAGAGGCGATTATCATGGGGACTGCGGCATTAAGCTGTGGGCTCGCTCCAAAGGTGTGGACGGCCACTTGTGATAATGCGGCAAAGTGAAATCTGATTAAACCCTGGGCCTCGGGTGAGAACTCTGTTACTCGATGAATCGACCGGTTGCCAGCGCATAAAGCCCGGCGTAGCTACACCCAGGCCCGCGTTGCTAGCTGTTAACTGACTGTTACCTTCTATAACTGTCGCTTGTCCTGTTGTTGATGTAATCTCTGACGACCCATTTCCGTACGAGTTCGGGCTCAGAAAAAAAAAACACTTCCGGAGCTTGAACAGTCTCTTACGTTAACTCTACGAGCTCCCCCTTTGGGTTGGACAGGCCCGGAAATTAAATCAATGTGTATTTGACAGTATTAAGAATAGCCAGAGCAGGTGTTGAGCAAAGTCATAAATAATTCGGGATAAGAAACCCCTTCTTTTGTATTTTTTTACTTCACGTATACTAAAAGTTACTGATTTGGTCCATTGGCAGTGAAAGGTATTATTTAAGACCCGTTAGCTCTTTGTGTTGTTCCAAACGTACGTCGACTCAAAATGCGGTTTGTTCAGCGAAAACAACTGCAACAAAATAAAGACTGCTAGTATATAAGAGAACTCTTCCACTGGGTGGATTAATGGAGTTTTCTTCATCGCAAAAGGTAAGTAAGCCAAAACTTTGGTCGCCTGCTGTCAAGGCTACACTTAGCGAAAATTCACACTGAATATTTTTCTCCCCATTGTCTCAGTGCTTTTACGAATTGACTTATATTTTTCAAAATATAAGTTGGTTACGGGCTTCGGGAAACGCTATTTCAAATAATAACAATGTTCTGCTTAGAAAACTAAGTTGGCAACTGGGAGTTAAGGGAAGTATACCAAACCCTTGAGATTAATTTAGTGATCTTTGAAATAATCGAGTCGCCTGGGCATTGCAGATGTCTATATTTCACATAATTTCCCGCAGAATTTTAAGTTACTTTCCATGTTTCTTGGCCTTATCTTAGCCAAAGCGTCGACTAGTCTTCTGTTGCCTTAGTTGCATGCATCTGCTTATTACAATTTATCGGATTTTCTAACTTTGGATTGAGCTGTGACGTTTTTGAAATTATCACCGGCGATGTTGCTCAAATAATTAATGGTTTTTCTGATTAATTATCCTGTCTGTCAAAGAGACGATAGGAAATAGCTGTCACTGGCATTGTTGCAGCTCAGATGAATAGTAAGAATACAAACCAGCCTAACTCTAACTTAGAAGAAGAAGAAGAAGACGAAGAAGAAGAAGAAGAAGAAGAAGAATATTATCCGTACGAGGGGGGCTCAAATGTATAGGACCACGCTTTGCTACATAGTTTAGAAACCCAGAGGCCTGCGCGTCAACCCACTCAAGTAAAATATTCACAGCAAGTAGACATTCCGGCGCTAGCTACTTCCTTCGGCTGTGCACTGTTCTTAATAGGACGACAATGCTGTATTTTGAGCAAAAGTGTGAGTCCCAGGAAGAGAGTGAGAAGAAACGGAGGTGATCACTGGTATCATGCTTAAATTAAGGGCTAGGGGCAACCAGTCTATAAACAAGTGCAATGGCTTGGCCAACCCATATTCGGTGCTGAGACTCAGTTTGGCAGAAGCATTTTGTTGCGAGTTCTATGTTCGTTATTTTCTCACTTTGTTACTCCTACAGCTTTACAAATAACCGCATACTCAACCTTGTCTCATTAGACAGTAAGTTAAAAACCTCAATCTTTTATCTGACGGCCTCTTCCACTGGACAGGATTTAAGTGGTTTGTTCACTGTCTCCTTGCTCTTCTCAGCCATGACGTTTGCATTCATAGATTCTCTTTCTACTTGACTGCTTAAGGCATCACATCGAACTGAAGGTTAAACTCCAATGCATACTCAAGAGGAAGATTCGATCGGCTGGAACATAGTTTCATTTTTTTCTCAAGTGTGGAGCTCGTGGTCAGGTTTACCAGTAAAAATTTTTAAAAATGTGTCATGCGTACTGAGTAAAGGAAAAAAAGCTGGTCGAGCACCGGAACAATCGCTTTATTATTCTGAGCTTTCGAACTTGTGCAGGCGTCCATCGTTAGAGCTAGCAGCAACAACAAACGGCTCAACCAGCCTCTTTCTTTATTCATACAAACGCCTGACACTCGAAACCTCACATCCATTCATGAGTCTCTTCTGTTAGTGCACGGTTTGATCTGGCGTCGGCGTGAAACTCTGCGTGGCACACTTCAAGTGTTTGTAGGAACTTTGTACTTTGCGTATTCTTTATGAGTTATTTGCGTGCAGGTACTAATCAGAATAAACCAAATTCATAGGGCGTACGCAAAGGCAACTGGCAGCCAGGGCCTCTCAGCACTCGCCCAATTGGCTTTTGAAGCAAGAAGACAGAATACCAAGGTCCTTCATTATCAAGCATCTATT